AGACCTGCCTTGGCGTAGTCTCCGGGAAATCAGCCTACGGCCAAGCGAGTGCATCCTTGCTTCAGAAGAGCTTTGAACCAGCAACAGACGGAACTTATAGTTTACTTTTGGGACTGTACTGCCTGCCATCCTTTGAGAGCGTCCTGTGTTCATCCACTCTCGGAGCAAATGGATCACTTGTCGGCAATGTCAAACGTCGCTTTAGGCTAGGCCAAATTCTACGACCTCCTTCCTCCCAACGGGTAACCAATGCGACACCCCTATACAACCACCCAAACTCTTCATAAACCTCCAGAATTACCTTCGAAAGGAAGGGCATGGGGTGGGAAAGGGTAGGATATACATTGCATACATATACCGCAAGTATTGAAACGAAGAGTGCTATAATTGTACCCATCCCCTGCACTTGATGTGAAAACTGTGCAACAATCAATCCGATCCCAGAGACGATTCTTTCCTTCCTGCGCTCCAGACCCCATCTGAACAGATGCGATTCCCCTTGGGACATTCCTATCGAACGATTGACAATGGCAAAGCATATTAACAGGGCTGTTGGAATAATCCCAACGGACGATTGATCCTGCTTGCCGGCCAGCTCAAAGATTTTCTATGGGACCTCGTCTCAAACCATGTTTAGTATCTTTTCGTTCAGAATCTCCTTATCTAAGCATCTATAAGCATTCCAATTGCTAACCGGTCCCAAGTGGTTAGAATAACTTTTTTTATCAGATTTCATTTGACTTCATCGAGAGATTCATAGAAAACTAGAGAGTACTACAATCCTTTACTGTTCAGGCATATCGAGTCACAGAATGATCCGAGCAACGACCCTCTGGTGCTGTTCATCAATGGTGGACCATCGTGCAGTTCTGTGGCGGGCCTGCTAGAAGAAATCGGTCCATTTCGTGTGGATGCGGACTCGATGACCTTGGCTGAAAATGTCTTTTCATGGAATAAGGTGAGGAATGTTGAGGACACGGTGCGAATATACTACCCAAAATGGCATTTAATAAAATATCTCCGTGAGAAAAAACGAAGAGCTCAACGAGAAAAAGGGTGCAACTATCACACTGCAGCGATCAGTGCAAAAATGTCGTGCACTAGAAGGCTTTTTATTTAACGGCTGTCAAGCTAATCGTCCAACGCTCGCGCTAAACTGGTAATGCTATACTGATGCTAGTACTTATACAACGATATTGATTTCAGAAACTTACAAATTTGCTCAAAATCGCAATTGTTGAAAAACTGCCGGAGAACGCAACTGAATGAATTGTTAGAAAAAAATTACAAAAACCTTTTAAAGGGAAAGTAACCGAGAAATTGGAAGCACCACGCGTGGCTCGCGCTAATTACAGAATAACAAACGAAAGGCAGCTTTGAACTGACTGCAGTGTTCTTCGACACTAGTTCGCCAAGAAACTGCATCATGATGCCGCATAGCAGAAATAGACCCGAATTCTCGAATTTTTTACCCTCCATCATCTGCCTTAAGTTAAATTCGCGAAAAATGCAGTTACTGCCTGTAGTATGTATCAAAACAGAGAAGGACAAAATATTGTTTAATTCCAAACAAACTCCTCCCCCGCCATGAAATTAAAGGAATCTTCCACGGACCATGGACCAGTGGGCGGGACCGGAAGTGGTTTTGCGACGAAATGCATGGTAGGTACGGATCCACGTTCATGGGAAGGTTTGAAGTGAATCCTGTTCACGTTCGTGCGTTCGACACGTGGATCCGTACCTACCATGCATTTCGTCACAAAAACTTCCGGTCCCGCCCACTGGTCCATGGTCCGTGGAAGATTCCTTTAATGGTGTTGGTCGTACACGCCGCTACTCTCTTGATATGACGCCAAAAAAAACCAGGACATGTTGAGTCAAATGGCTAAGAAATTAGCGCGCCGCCTTAAAGTGGATCTCTTGACCCACGTTTGGGTTCCTATTTGTAGTTATAAGATTGCAAAATCGGACCAGGACTTTTGACGGCGAAATTTCGGCTTTGAATTCCCACTTGTCTTCAAAGGCCTGTTGTAAGAGGTTCTGAACAAGGATATCGAGAAAATTTCGAGGGATATTAGCTCTATAAAAAGCCTAAGGTCAATAGCATTATTATCCCTACCGCAGAATTTCTCTCTATTGCTTAACACCTACTGAGCGATTACTGGAATCAAACATCTGCATCAACCCCCCCCCCTCTCCTTGAGGCCAGAGCACTGTTAAGAAAAGCTGCGGTGTCGCCACTACGGGTGAATCGATCCTCTTTCTGGGTTCAATAATTACCTACAATACCTACATTACTTTCAGGTAGCTAACCTACTCGTCATTGACCCGCCAAACGTCGGTTTCTCACCGGAACCCCCTTGGGGACAAGAAAACGACGACGATCATGTAAGCCTGAGAAATACGTCGAGCAGAACTGAAAAAAGAAAAAAAAGTTTTCTTTCAGGTGGCAACATCACTTGAAGCAGCTCTCACTGACTTCTTCAATGTTTTCCCGGAACGACTCACCAACCGACTTTACTTGGCTGGTGAAGGCTACGGGTCGGTCTTCGTCACACGTATAGCTTACCTGCTTTTGCAGAAACTGAGCACCGGGAAATCGAACGCGAATCTCCAGGTGGGCATGATTTTTATATCAATCGATTTTATCGTGGCGTCACGTATAAACTGCCTATTATGGTGATGCTATGTATATAAGAACTGAAAAATGGGAGCATCTTCTAAGAGTTAGTCTATCTAGGAAAGGAAGGAACTTCCAGAAAAATCGAATTCTTCGCGCAATATGCAGTTTCTCTCCTTCTGAAGCTTATTTCTAGTTCTAGAATTTATCTGAAAATTGTTTCGCAATGCTCGCATGCCACGCCCATCTATCCAACCGTTTTGAAATAATTCCCATCAAGGTTTCAGATTCAAGTGGAGAAAAGGTACGGAAATTCTGTGAATCCTTAGGGTGTCTAAATCCAATCGCAACTGTGCTGTATTCATAAGGATCGTAGCTGGTGCCCCGTCTATTGGTTGGGCGGAGTTACAACGAATAGGGTGGCCAGTGAAAGTGCGCGCGTGCGGACCTTTCTCGTTTTCATTGTTGCTTTGGACAAAAAAAATTCTGTTGTTTTCTTTGTATGTACGTGAGGATTGTTGTTTTGTTCCACAAATCTTTCAGTGCTATCCTATTAATCCTTATTTTCATTCCGCTAGGGAGTGGATGCTTATCAGAAAACCTGCTATTCATTTACAAACCGTCGTGCTTATCCCGTATTGCATATTCATCGAGGTCTGACGCAATTAGAAAGTCTATGTATGTAGTGAAAAATGATGACCAATTTTTTCAGGGTTTATAAATCGAAGTGGAATGCGGTGCTCAGACGGAGATCAATGTACTGCCGATCGCCTATACATGCGGTTTGTCCGGATAAGAGAATTGTTAGATCTTGCTATCTTTTTGATTTTTGCACTATTGAATTCTCTAATATTTTGCTTTCTGAGGTTTGTGTGAAGACTGCTGCAGACATATCCTCGGAGCGGCCGGTAGCGTTATAGCGTTGACTTTGAATGACGAAGTTATGATGCCAGCGGATATTTTGCTTTTTGGTGTATTCTTTGAATTTAATGTTTTAGTTAATTATTGGATTTTCAAAGGGAGATTCTTACAGCTTCTGCTTTACAACCGGAGCTGCATGTGATGGCATTCGCGACGCTCCGCTTTTGCTTAAAATTTCTAGAAAAGCCCTTTTTACAGGATCGATGATCTACGCTCGGCCTGCTGCCCGGGTCAATCGACATTGTCCTGCGATTTCTACAACAGTCCCGATCCGATTTGCCAGAACAAATCTCGAGCTGCGGTTTCAGGATGGATCGATCAAGCGTACGCTACATAATTGGGATTGCTGCACTGTTTCTGAGTTTCTACAATCTTATTTACAGGTATTTTCCTTCGAATTAACGGGACTGTTATCGTATGTGTATAGCTCAAAAGGGTGTTCAAATGCGATGGAGAATTGAAGGTACACTTCTAGATGGCTTCGTGAAGCGTTTGGATGTTATCGTGGTTCTGAAAGAGATGGCTGTGAGTTTTTTTTCAATAACATAAACAAACTATAATAAACATAGACGATAAACTCAATTATATAAGTAATTAGACTTATAATAAATAAGTAAATAAGTAATGAACAGAACGCGAGATGTGAGCTCTCCGAATTCCCATCTTAACATATTTTATTTATATTTATGCGGGTTCTGCGAAGGGTGTGGCCTATAAGGGGCGGGATTAATAGGGTGAGCATGATGGTTTGGACCCTGTCTACTGAATTATAGGAACAACTAAACTTTCGAAATCGATAGTGATTTGCTGTAATTGAGCTGCAGCTTTTCTTGCAGGAGTGATGAATGTCGAGGGTACGAGAGGAAAGACGGGTTCTTAGGATTCTATGAAGGATATGAATACTTTTGCTGCTTATACTTGCTGTTGGGTCCACCGCCCCCCCCCCCCCCCTCCTTCCCTCGGTTGACGAGAATTTTGAAAAATTAGAGGAGCTAAAGCTAAAAAGATCAGTAAGGTAGTTGCAGAGGAAAGGAAACTTATCTGTCACCATGTTTGCAGTTGGGGTTGAATCGGTATTAAATTTTCGTGACGTTGTCTTCGAGAGCGTGTTTATTGGCTGGCTATTGTTCAATATTGTCCCAGTAAAGGCCGCACAGTCTCGATGGGAATGAGTGTTAGCGTAATTGGAGTCGAAAATCAGAATAGTTGCAGTAGATCGTTCACCACTGATGGAAAAAGCGAGAAATCCGCTGAACTCTTGAATCCCAACGCGCCCTAATCGGATGGCGAAATAAGTTGGCGCTCCGCTTTGAGGGTGTTTCGTTGGCCGGCACATCGGTTTACGTGCTCGATTACCGTAATTGTGTGAGACGGTAACCATGAGAGATTAGTGAGTGGTGCCGCAACTCGGTCATTCTACCAGCGCACGGTTGGTGGTTTGAGAGTTCTTGCTTTTGTGACGTATTCGTGGCCACTAACCCGTCCACTTCCCTACAATTCGTGATGCCTGGTGCAGCTGCTTTTTTTGAAAACCAATTTTTCAGATGGCCGCCACAACAACTATGGCTCATCGGACCCTTGGAATGGTTATCCGTGCAGAGCCGATAGCGACTCGTCGTATTATTTGAATCACTTTTTAACGCAAAAAGCTCTTCATACGGATCTAACGCTGTTCGTCACTTGCTCGTGAGTTTAATTTTATTTCCTCTTTTTTGCAAATTCACCAATCATTTTTTCGTGTTGATTTTGCGGATAACCCTGTATTAATTAATTTGCTCGTGACCGCGTGTTTCTTCGATGAGTTGGTGAAAAGCCCATCGAGGACGCGCGCGGTCGCGATGGGCGCGTTTAGATCCGTCGGCTAAAAAAGTGTCCGCCACTGTTGAATTCTTCCTAATCCTATTATTGCTATTTTCCCTATTTTTTCCTATTTTCCTTTTTTCCTATTATTATATTATTCGTTAACATGATTCAGGGCTTACCCGTACAACCAAATGACTACGGACTTGACAGTGGATTTGTCGAACGTCATTAATCATAGCGTCTACAAAAGCCGTAATATGTCGGTATGTCAAAATCATTATAGCAAGTCGTATAGTTTATTTGGTGCAACAGAATAGGGCGTAGCCGACGTGTTTAAGCGGAAAGTGGCTCGATACCGCTGCCAGATAGCTTTCCTACCATCAGCTTTTCCCCTTTTTTCTCTTCGGAATTCGCGCAAGATGGAGTTTGCATGAACAATGAATGCCATATTTATAACTAGGACCGTCAGTAACCCCGTCAACTCAAGGTCAAAAGTTTGTCACACGAGGAATCGAATCAGGGACTTCCCTTTTTGGTATTCAAAGGGCCGTTCTAGGAAAAAATTAACCATGGTTTTGTGGTTCCCGCATGTGCCCCATGTCATGCAAGAAACCGTTTTGAAAGCCTAGGCACCCTCTGAAAGACCTTCCTGGTAAAGGAGGTCCATTCTGAAGAAGGTATGGTGGGCGAGGGGATCTAGTGCCACCAGTAGCGAACCCTGTGGTGAACATGCATCTGAAATCTCTTTTCGCGCCCCCCGCCCCTCCACCACCATCCGCTCGCCTGCGCTGCGAGTTTTGGTACACAGAAGATCTAAGAACACAACTCTGAGTTTCGAGTTTGTACCTTATGTAACATTCTGAGAGCTTACTGCCGCATTTAACTTAGGGGGCTATACAAGTGGGTGGGCACCGCATTTTGTTTTGAACGAAAGTTATTGTAAGTGGTACTGCTGCCCGCTACTACATATACTGTCACGAGAATTGGGGAGTTCGTGAGCAGGGGAGTGTAGCCAATCTAGGGGGTGTCGGGGTGAGGGCAGCTCACTTGACATGCGTGAAAAGCTGGACGTGCACACCCAACTTGTATAGAGCCGCAGTTATGATATATATAACCCGCACGGTCTGCATTGGAGTCAAATTTCGATGGCGGCCATCCTGAAATAGCCGTTTTTGCGCTTTCCAGTTTTGTGGTGGGTAGCACGCGATTTGTGAAAACAGTTCATTTCTCAATTTTTTTCCACAATCAATTATTTGCTTTGAAATTCCACCAGTAAATGGCGGCAGCTTTTCAGATCGTGTTTTATAATGGTGATTTGGACACGGTGAACAATTTTCTGAGTGCACAGAATTTTCTCCGCAGTTTTAGCAGTGTTCAAGGATTGAAGGTGAGTCGTTGCTGGAAACGAGATGATCTTATAATTTTTTACGGAAGTTTTCAAGAGTTTTAAACATTTTGTAGCAGCAAGAACCTTAACAATTTAAAAATGACATTCCCTCTTGTCTTTGAATGAGTATTGATTTTGCGCGCGCGCAATGATAGCGATAGTTTCCACAGAATTATGCTGGGAGCGGATTGCAGAGCCATGAAACTAATTTTACATTTAAACTATTTATTTGATTTTATTTTTGAATCCAACTATAGTATGATCTTTAAGGTGACCAGGGAAGATACGTGGAGAGCCAACTATAATCGCAGCGTCTACATGGACACAGAAGGCGGTCTACGGACCACCTATTCAGGCAATATTGACGTCCTTTCCATCAGAGTATGTCAAAAAGTCACTTAGGAATTGTTTACGCTTTATTCCGAAGCAATGTAAGACTGACCATTCCTTGTAGGTTGAAAATACTGAGAGTTTCTTATTGGAACATATTTATCGGTAGTTTGTTTACTTGTTTATTCACTTGTTTATTTATATATTGTTTGTTACTTCCAGTCTAAGAAGTTTGTCGGATTTAGAGTTCGGACATTCAAGTGGAATTGGCCCATTTCCTAAAAATTTTAGGATCATTTTGCTATGGCATTGGCTCTAAACGTTTATCCCAGTAGTAATTACCATGTAGGGGTCTAGCTTATTACAGGGGGCGGAGCTTCTACGAGGGGCGGAGTCAGTTGGTCCTAATTAGACGCCAGATTTTTTTCCTTGTGGCCAGCCTATTTTAGGAAATTATATGCATTAAAAAGAAGTATATTCCTGTGTCATTTAGGGTGCCGGCCATTTCGTGCCGAAGTCACGTCCTGCTCAAGCTCTTCAAGTGTTGCGTAACTTTGTGAACGGCTTCAGCTACGATAACTGTCTACAGGCAGTGAACCTCGCTGCTGCACCTCTCCTGGCCGATTACAGCTACCTGAATCCTCCTGTCTCAAGAAGGGACGCCGACAGGGTAAGGAATTCTTAATGGTCTCCTGAAAGTTTCGGACGATCTATTTTGCTCAAACACAAAAACGTCGGAGCGTAAGGCTGTAATAAAAGGCCTGAACAATTACGCGAAATCGGAACGAGCGAGCACTTCGAATCGGAATTTTCAGAAAAGATTACCGATGTGCACGAATCCTTGACCTTGGGCGTCAGAACCTCAAGCTATTAATGTGTCAAATGCGTACAAATGATATTTAATGTGCGCCCCCCCCCCCCCCCCCCCCCCCCCCCCCACACAGCCATCAAGACGCTGCGCGACTGCGCGCTTCTCTTGCAATGGTAAATGCGTTATTTATGGATCAGCTCAGTTCGTGAGCGTGCTGAAACATACCGGTTTTGATAATGTTTTTCGTGTTGATTTAATCACAAGAAAAGACCACGTTTGGAGGTGAAGAGGGGGAGGGGGGAGTGTGGGGCGCTTTAAAGAACTTAACTGACTGGCTTGTAAAGAAGTGCAAAACGCCGTCAGAGCCTTAACGGGCCACCCTAAGACCGCTTCGAAGCAGGGTCAGCCGTTCGTTGGTAATCTACAGAGGAGTGTCGTATTTGAGTTCTCTTGGAAGGGGGTCGTATTTCGGCTTTGCGTGTTCATGATGGTGACATGGGGTCGTTTTTGCAAGAGGCGATTTCTGAGGTGAAGTTTGGGGGGTCGCGTTGCAGTATATTGGAGAAGGGGTGGTTTTTTGCCGGGTTTTGACATTTTCGATGAAAACTTGAGAATAGTAGGCGAAGTGGACAGAAATAAGAGTTCTCGCCGCTTCTTCAGCTGTATTTGCCTCCTCCCCCTCCTCTACTTTACCCTCCCATAGGCAGGCCGTTTGAGGAGAAAATGGGCCGGGTTGGGGCGGGTCAAGTGGTTTCAGAATCAAATGCAGTAAAGACAGTTATGGTGAGGTGCGCGCGGCGGTTGGGAATGGAGGGGGGTGCATTTGTGGGCAATTCACGTGTGGTGGTAGGGAGGGGGAGGGGAGATTTTTGAACAATTCTGCCCAAATGACCCAATTCTAAAGTGGACTGCCCACACCACCCGTGTCACCTTCCATTCTCATTTCCCCTCTTTGATATCCTCTTCATCGTTTCTACCATCATTCTCACAGCACAATCGAGGTACGGTCGTTGAATGTGCAGAAAAAATGAACCGTGCCTTTATAAGGTCCCCATGCATACTGTAGCGGTTAGGCGTCAGGTTAAAGAGTGTACCATACTACGTCTCATATCGCACAGCACGCGCTGCGACTCGTCCTTTGCCGCGTCTGCGTCTCTTCCTTCGCCGCGCGATGGGCCTTGTTGGGGGCACCCCTGGCAGACTCCATGCCACCGACGGAAGCGCAATTTTGTCGTGCGCGACAAGCGGTGGAAAAAAAAGCTGCAGAAACCTATCGTGTTCCGAGCCCGGTGCTCCACTCTTTCGTCAATCCCTCCTACATAATTTGCAGGAGCAAGGCACACGCGATGGACGGAGTCACGAGTGTGGGCTCAAGCGAAATCGGGTGCCTGGACCCTCTCGAGGCCTATGGCTATGGCCCATGAACAGGAGTACCCGGGTAAGAGGTC